TTTTATTATTTTATTTTAGTTTAATTCAATTTCAATTTTACATACATTATTATTTTTCAATGACATTTATCATTTGTTTTTTAATGAAATCTGATTGTATAATAATTGTAATTGTAATTGATGATCAAATTTGTTTTACTAACACTAGTTGTATAAGAAAATTGTTACTAACCATTTATGAGCTCTGAGCTTGAAATAAAGATTACAATTCAAATAGCTCTTATTTATTCTTACAATGTTTCCTTTCACCAAGTCACTATGCTTTACTCTCTTAACTCCTCGATTACCGGTTTTGTAGACACAATTATAGAACAATAGGTTGTGGTGGTGTTTGACAGTTTAATCTGAAATCTCTTAAATCTGAATAGAACCCAAGTGCTTAAAACCTAACTCTAAACCCGATTAAATTGACCACCATAATCAAACGAATACATCACACCCACTCAATAACCAAAAACCAATTTCAATAACAATTAATAACGTTGAACTCTCACAATGTAACAGAATGCCTTGAAAGTCACTAATTACAGTGATTAAGAACAATAATAACCCGATTTCCGACCGTTTCCTTCATACAAATTCTATGCGGGCTCAAGTAACACCCTTGTTAGTTTCAAGTGGTCGGAAACTGGGTCGATGAAGTTGGTTGTATGGCCTTGGCCTTAGAAGACAATAGGTCTGATGGTGGATGGTTGATACAAGAGCAAACGTGGAAGGGATTGGTAAGGCATTGTTTATACTTACTGCTTTGTTAATACACTAGTTGCAAATGTATTGCTTGCGGAGTTTCAGTTTCTGCAGTTTCGTCTTGTTTGGTGAATATTGAGCACTTAGGCTTCTAACCTTCTTGTGTTGTGCACAAAGATTGGCCCAAGTAATATGTAATTAACCATGTGTAGTAGACAAGAAATCTATTTTATTTTGTGTTCAATTCAAATACACCTTACTTGCTTTTTGGCTGAAGAATTTAATAAAGCTGGACACCTGATACCTAAATTCGGATACTATTACTGTATAAAAAATTTGTTTTAAAGAAAATCTTCAAGTTGTATGTAGGCATGCAACCATAAAGTGCCTCTAAGTAGCTCTATTTAAAGATATTTTTCCATGTGAGCAATTTTGTCGTGAACATTAGAACACTACCTCAAGTCGGTCCACTGGTTGTCTTCACTAGGCAGGATATGCGTAAGATCTAATTACACGCCTCACATACTCCTTCCATAATAATCCTCGAATTGCTATTCTGGCCTAAAATCTGGGTTAATGTTACCATGGCGCGTTTAGCACTGCATATCCTTTGTCTTTTGTCTCTCTCACTAATGATCTGAATAACTCTGAATAATGACAATAGTGGAATTTGCATTAGGATTTCATTTTTACGGAGTAATTTTTGCCACTGGTTGAGTATTATGATTTTCAAAATGGTCAGACTAAACTGCTGATTATAATGCTTACTTCTACAAAGTTCTATAATAAAAATACTATCTCCAAATCTATATAGGCGTCAGTATCTAGACATTTTCAATATTTAAATAGTACCTATATACTTACATCTGCCTACAGGTACGTACATTATTTGTTCGATAGGTACTAGACAATGTTTATTCTCACAGGATCGAATATCTCTTACGATTTTCAAAATGGATGTCAATGTAATGATTTATGTCGGAATTTCACAGTCTGTTGACCTGAAACAGATTTTGTTACTTACCTTGTTCGCTGAATAAGGCCAAAGGTACAGTTCCGAAGAAAAGTATTTTATCTCAATTTTTTTTATTGTATTCTTTTATTTACACTAAAAAGTCGCTTGTTGAAACGGTAACATGAAAACTATATCATGATAGATTTTCGAGAAATTACATGAATTTGTTGTAACTAATTTTTATTTTTTGTCAATCTTCTTTTTGATGTTGATCGTAGTCATGTAAATATTTATTTATTTTTTTATGTAAGAAATTGGGTATACAACTTAGCATCCAAACTAAATTCATTCATTCATTGAACATGAAATTCGTAATATTAAAAGATAGCAGAATATAATAGAACATGGCAAATGAAATTCATAACTACATTTTGAGCCACATTGTGGGTACAATTACTTACAAATGTCTCCCTAACTACATATTATAAATTCAATACCTAATTCGAAGATTACTTAGCTCCGTCCTACTAAAATTCTAAATGCGAAAATTTATGAGGATGTATGTGTATATATTTGTTACTCTTTTACGTCAAAACGACTGAAAGGATCCGGATGAAATTTGAAGCAAGGGTAGATTATGGTCTGAAATACCACATATGCCTCTTTTTGTCACACGAGAACGCAGGCGAAGACGCCGGCAGAAGCTAGTAGTAGATAAATACCTTTATGCATTTTGACATACTTAATTATTACAAGTGATTTCAAAATAGCTCAGATGATCCTTATTCAATAATATTATTTTTGCTCTTCACTGTACCTGTGTTCAGGATCCATTAAATATTTACAAACAGATAGATTAAAGTGACGTGCCCTGTGAACGTGTCTGCGAAATGATATTTATAGATTCGTATGAAAATATCATGTTTTTTTTATGTGTGAGGTATAATATGAGGAGCAAAAGTGTCAGGGAGACACAATTTGAGTGACAGAATAAGTCCATTCTATATTCATTTGTTGTCCTTAAATATAGAGGCTTCTCGTGAAATAGGTTGGGTTCGTATGACATGGAAACTTGTTGCGGAGAACCTAACCGGGCTACCGCGGCTTCGGCTCGAAGTGCAGGAGAAGGAATGGGGTGGTTGTTAGTCAGTAAGAGTCTGATACTCCCTCCCGCCTCACCTAAGCGGTAGCAGTAATTCGATGATATTCTCCCTTTAAAAAAAATGACATGGAAACTTCTAAGAATGCTGTAAATAGGTTCACGACTTAACTAAGAGTGAGAACAGCTCTACTAGTTTCGAACCACAGAGGGGCAGCCTACTTACTGGCTATCGTTGGCGCTCGCATCGGTGTTGCTACTTGCGCATCTAGCCCACAGGGCCCTCTGCACGTGGACACGTGGATAACCCGCGATTTTTAGTTAATTTAGTACGTCTCACGATAGCTATTATAAAAACACAGGTTCACATCTGTTGGTACAGTTATTTATATTAAACTAAGTATTGATTTATTTTGGTTATTGACTGAATGAAATCACTGAACTTCATTAACGTCTAAATATTGAAAGGCCATTCAATTTTAAATTATACTTAAATATCGTGCCATCTCTGTCATTTTACATAGAATTTGTAGTGATAGAACTATACCTACTTAAGCGCGACTTAAAATAGACTCGTGGTGTTTGCGTATTTCAGCGTAAGACAAGGATTTTCAAATCTGAGATTCACTTTGTCGATACTAATTATCCAGGCTAAATACAGTACAATATTGTTTTTACCGACTTCAAAAAAAGGAGGAGGTACTATGTTCGGCCATAAACTCATATCATTATGATATAACTATATATATCATATCATAATGATATAACTTAATGGCCACAAAATTGTAAATCAGGTATCTATTAAGGCTTTAATGAATAATTTTATATAGAACTTATGGCGCCGACTTCTAACCTATCAGTGGGTGGGTAACCTATTAGTACTCATAATAGTAACTTTTTGCTTTTTAGTTTTGACTTTTTGTTTGTGGTTTTTTGAAGTCGGTTTGAATAAAAATTTTTTCGTTTATTACACAAAATATTTGTAAAGAGCAATCTGTTTTCATGAAGTCAGGACGAACTGTACAAGGACAAAGAGAATTAGAAAATTGATTTAAACACAAAAGAACATCTTTTTGAGAAAATTAATTTTCGTAAATCAAATAAAACACAAAATATCAGTTTCGCAAACTTTATTTTACTCTTAGTTTTGTACAATATCTTCAATATGCTTCTTATATTAGGTATAACAACTTGCTTATTATTACGATTAAACTATATTTATTATTTACATTAAATATAATATTTAATAAAAACTCATTTCCAACAACCTTGAGCTTAACTTAATTTTTATTTTAGTTTTAACATTTATTTTGGACCTAACTAATCTAATAGAATTAATGTAGAAGATATTAGATATCTACTTATTTGTTTTTTAAAGATACTTTGACACTGACGACTGAATAATTTGAGAAAAAATAAATGCTACATTGACATTTTAAGGGGTCAATTGACAATAGTTTCCGCCATATTGTGTGATGAAGTTTGGCATTGATTGGATTAAATCAAAATAAAATAAATTTTGTATGCGTTACTAATACGTACCTATGTGAAGAATTCCGCAAGTTGAAAAAAAAATCCTTCTACAGTTTTTTGCTATCATTCAAAATCAAACCTAATGAAAAATTAAAACACTTCGGAATACATGACATAATTTTAGTGTTATCCACATCTGGACTGTTCAAATTCAACTATCGAACATTGAAGAACAGCTTGCAACGTTACCTACCGCGCAATTTGTGAGCCCCAGTGTGACTTGTAACTAGTCGAGCTCATCTCTAATAGTTGACGTGAGTAAGCCAATTAATTTAGAATATTTTACCATAGTTTTTTTATGCAAAAATGAATTATTTTATTGGTATTTCAGAAATCTTATTCACAAAATGTTTTGTTTACATATCATAATATATTCACATTGCTTATTTCAACATATTAACATTAAATTTACATGCATACTAATCTACGGTTTAACAATTTATATTACTAATGTAATTCATAAATAAGTTATTTAATTTATGCTGCATTTCTTTATCACCTTAATTGACAATATTATTTTAATTTTATTTTATGTTGACACATGATTGGCACGTAAATACAAATACAGTTTAAAACTTCTTTAAATTATAAATTGACAAAATTCAAATATAAATAGTTAATATCAAAAAAAAACTGTAATAAAACATAAGCAAGAAAAGTATTTAAAATGTTTAAAATTGACGAACATGTAATTTATTTTCATCACTTCATATCGTACGTCTTGTATTGAACCCTTTACTTAGCCTTACCTCTATCTCTTAATAGTTTTCTTCAAGGTATAAGAAACAACAAGATCCCGCAACTAATGGAAATATGAGTTTAAAAATATAGATAGTCAAAAATCCCTTTAGTTCACAGCAGTTCACATAGGAAGTAAATTAACATTAAAGCTTACAGTTTACTACAGCAATACGTACCCATGCAGTGCTGACCAAATTATTTTACTGACTGTAATTAAACCTTAGTAATTTCCATTCAGAATTACCGATACTACACTAACAGTTGTCTTAATTTCTCCTCATTATAGATCTTTAGTGACTTTTCTGAATTATTCTAAAACAATAATTGTTTTAAAAACACATATGTTTTCATCATTGAATGTACTGAAAATTATGCTCAAAGTAAGTATGTAAAATGAACTAATTTTATTCTTAGCAACAATAAAATTGGAACAATAAGAGTCGTTTCTGTACGGAAATATTATCCCTTATGTAATTTCCTTCCTAAAGCTTCAAACGAAATAGTAACAGATATCGAGTAAAGTATTTACTGAGCTCTAAGACAATCAATCGCCTATAACATCAAGGATATCAACATCGCTTAATTTACCACTCACATTCTTCCATGACACTCTCTTCCACATCAGCAAGCAAATGAAAAAATAAACCTTATTTTCTTACCAATGTGTACTTATTTCCTTTGGCCTCATACCAGTGTGGTATAAACCTTTTATAAATCACTTACATTTTATCATCTACAACAGTGCGTGACTCAATTGAAGTTTGGCACATTTCATTTAACACATTCGTTGGCAGAAGACTTTGTTTCCATTTATTCTAGGGTTCTGTAGTGCCTCTAAATGGGAGGTTTAAGAGGCGTGTTGCCGACGTGCAAGTTGTTCAACTGTGGTAACAAGATGGCCGCTGTGGATATTGCTGTGACGAGCACGAAGACAGCTAGGAGTGCCCGGTCCGCTACCACTGCCACCTGGAAATTGGTAATCATTAAATTCCAAGGCCTTAATTGGACGTCAGTGTTTGGTGTTGATTATGATTTAAATGACTTTGTAACCCATTCTATACAGGTGCCGATGTATCAATCAGCTTTTTTTAGAACTTAGACGCAGGTTCTTGAGCCGCGGAGAACCTAACGGGTTACCGAAGCTCTGGCTCGAAGTGCAGGAGTAGGAACGGGATGGTTTTTAGCCAGGAAGAGTCTGTATAAACTGATATTCCACTAGCGAAGTTTTCACTTTGCTGTTGAGATTTAATAAAATGGTAATTCAGTATCAGAAACCGTCCAGAGTAGCCCTGCATAATATGGCATAACCGAAACAGAACTATACGCCAGGACTAACACTCGACTACATGCATTTTCAATGCGACGCGGGACGTGACAGGTGTCTAGTAAATGTTTATTGGAAAAAACACTCACGAGGAGAGGAAGCTTTGAAATCGTAAAATGTAAATTGTAAAGTATAAACACGTAAGTGTTTTGTAAGTGTTATAACGATATTCAGAGAGATACATACATAGTACACTGTGTATATATATATATACATATTATATTTAAATGAGCGTTAACAAACGGATCACACGAAGAGTTGTTCCGTGCGGGAATCCAACCCGCGACACGTTGCGCGGCAGCCAGTTGCCCACCCACCACACTAACCGTGTCATTATACGCATCATTATCTATACTAATATTATAAAGAGGAAAACTTTGTTTGTTTGTTTGTTTGTTTGTTTGGTTGTAATGAATAGGCTCAAAAACTATTTGATCGATTTCAAAAATTCTTTCACTATTCGAAAGCTACATTATCCACGAGTAACATAGACTAAATTTTATTTTGGAAATAAATAGGGTTCCGTAATATATTTGGGTTTTTCGGACACAAGGTGTAAAAAATCAACCAGAAAAGTTACTTATTTTGCGTACGCTGCCTAAACTATAAAAGATAGAACTATGAAATGTTCTAATTAGTTGTAGATCTTATAAATATCTACAAAAAACTCCGCGACACACTATACCTATCTATGTCGAGTGAGGCACAACAACCATTTTTTAAATCAAAAATCTTGAATTTTTTTGGACTACTTTTAAACGCATTTATTTTACTCATTCTATTAATCCTTATCAAAATAATTTATTTCATCATTAAGTACAGTTAATGTAGATGATATTTGGTCTTTGAATGATTAAAATTGGATGTTTAGTTTCGAAGTTATGGCGAAATTAAAATATCACGATTTCTGCTGCACGGCCCGTTGCGAAGTGAGCGTCACCAAGGCGGGGGTGCGCGTGCGGGAGGGGAGTTTAGATCTATGAGTATGGCTCCCTACGCAGCGGTCGTGCGCGAAGTCTAATAATTTTCCTGCGATTTTT